GGCGCTTGCCTTTAATCCCAGCACTCAAGAGGAGAAGCCAAGCAGATCTCTGTGAGTTCGAGGCCAGTCTGGTCTACAGAGCCAGATCAAGGACAGGCACCACAGCTATACAGAGAAATCCTGTCTCAAAAAAAAAAAATAAAAATAAAAATAAATCACAAGACCCAGCTATACCACCCTTGGGCATATACCCAAAGGATGCTCAGTCATAGCACAAAGACACATGCTCAACTATGTTCATAGCAACTTTATTGGTAATAGCTAGAACCTGGAAACAACCTAGATGTCCCTCTACTGAAGAATGGATAAAGAAAATGTGATAGATTTACACAATAGAGTATTATTCAGCTGTTAAAAACAATGACATCATGAAATTTGAAGGCAAATGGATGGAACTAGAAAAACACCATCCTAAGTGAGGTAACCCAGACCAATAAAGACAAACATGATATGTCCTTACTCATAAGTGGATATTAGCTATACATATAGTGTATATTTACTATACAGTAAAGGATAGCCATGCTACAATCCACAGGCCCAGAGAGACTAAGCAACAAGGAGGGTTCATTGGGGAGACACCTAGGTCTCCCTGGGAAGGGGAAATAAAACAGATTTTGTGAGTGGGCTGAGGGCATTTGGGGATAGGAACATGAGCGATCAGGTTGGGAGGCTGGTATGGAGGGGTTGAGTGCTGGGGCGGACTGCTGGAGAGATGCATTTCAGGTCAGGCTGGTACAGGGGAATCTCCCAAGAGTCTATATGGAGGACCCCAGCTTAGACTCCTAGCAACAGGGGATAAGTAGCCTGAACTGGCCATCTCCTGTGACCAGATTGGTGCCTGGCCCAATTGTCATCAGAGAGGCATCATCCAGCAACTGATGGAGGCAGATGCAGAGACCTACAGCCAAACATTAGGAATCCTGCAGAGCAGAAGAAAGGAGTGTAGGAGCCAGAGGGGTCAAGGACACCATGGGAAGGATCACACAATCAACTAATCTGGGCTTATAGGGGCTCACAGAGACTGAAGCGATAACCAGGGAGCTTGCGTGAGACTGACCTAGACCCTCTGCATATATGTCACAGTTGTATAGCTTGGTCCTCTTATGAGACTCCTAACCCTCTGACCCTTTTATTGGCTTTTCGGATCCTACTCCTCATAATTGCCCAACCTTAATACAAGAGGAGGTGCTTAGTCTCACTGCAACTTGATATGCCATGTTTTATCAATACTCATAGGAGGCCTGCTCTTTCCTGGATGGAGATGAAAGGGGAGGGGTTTGGGGGGATTGGAGGGTGGAAATGGGAGAGAGGGACTGGGAGGAGAAAATGGGGGTGGGCTGTGGCAGGGATATAAAATAAAAGAAAAAAGAAAAACTATTTTTTAAAAGAATGTTGTGATATAACTGTGGCAATAAATAAGAAATTGTGCTGATGCCGGGCGTTGGTGGCGCACGCCTTTAATCCCAGCACTCGGGAGGCGGAGGCAGGCGGATCTCTGTGAGTTCGAGGCCAGCCTGGGCTACCAAGTGAGCTCCAGGAAAGGCGCAAAGCTACACAGAGAAACCCTGTCTTGAAAAACCAAAAAAAAAAAAAAAAAAAAAAAAAAAAAAAAAAAAAGAAATTGTGCTGATGTCTCTGCTCATTTTGTTCATTATTGGTCTTCTCAAATCAGAGGTGAGCTACCTGTGGCTTAATTGACCACAATGGCAGATACAGAAGCATCCTCTTTACCCAGCTTTCCCTTACATTACATTGTTCATGCCTAGTAGATGGCATGCATTTATCTGCCATGGAAATTGTAATGAATAATGCCAAAAAACCAGTCAAGTTCATGAGCCTGAAGTTTGAGTCAGTTCTCTACAGATAATATCTGAAAAGTAGCTTCAAAACATTTTTTATCTCTGCAAGAATAAACGTCTTATCACAAAGATTATTTTCAATCTAGTCTTCTCTTTGCTATAGAATTGTTGGTTTGTATCTGTTCTTTTACTTACTTCCACAAGAATGACGGAAGTGACCACCCAAAGATTTAATGGCATGAAACCTTTGTACAAATTGTTTTTCTCATAAACTTGGGGAAGAGATGTGTATTGATTGCTTTTCCTTTCATGCCGAGTTTTCATTTCACTCTGCTTTTTTTCCCAAAACAGAAAAGGTTATTGAAAGTAATCCTCCATTAACTGGCCTTGTGATATTGTGAAATTAGTCCATTTGTCTTACTTAGGAGGCACAGGAGTTGGGTAAATTGTCTATGTTTAGGCAAATAACTGAGGAAAACATTACCCGTTTCTGAAACTGTCCCGTCACCTATGCCTGCACTGTCTGTTCTAATTGTGCCTGGATTATACAATTATCTCACGGGTGCCGTCAGCTTAATTGAAAGGAATGACAGCGCTTCAACTTAGCTTTTAATTGAGATCAATATTACTGAAAGGGTGCAATTTGACCTTGGTGAAAATCACCCTCTGGCAAAAGATCAAGAAATAGCATATTACTCAGTAAGATAGATATGGATATAGATATAGATATATATCCTTTGCTACAAATGTTTACAATTAAAAATAAATGAGTAGTGATGCTTTCTGTGAGAGTATGATTTGGTTTGATTTTTGACACACAGTCTTACTATGTCACTTGGGTTAGCCTCAAACACATCTACCACTTGTCTTCAACTCTGGAGTGCTTGGCTTATAGGCATGGATCGACATACACTGGCAAGTACTTGTACTTGTGGGAACTTAGTCCTTGATTTCTTCTAGTAGGAGATGAAGAACCTAGGTCCCCAGGTGTGCCAGGCAAGCATTCTGCCACTGAGATGCCTTGTTAGTCTTTGATTTCTTACAAAAACTTTCAAATAGAACTCCCTTCCAGAAGTGGTGGCCAGGAGGTCATCGTGTTATGTGAAATTCGGGAGACTCAGAAAGACATCACATGTTTGCTCTGTGAATTAAAAAGACAAAAGTCTGGAAAGTAAAAAGGATACTACTTGGAAAAGAAAGAGGATTCATGAGAGGGACAAGGTAGAGGGTAATAATAGACATGGGTACAATCAGAGCATTTTATAGACGTGCATGAAATGTGTAATAAAGCCCATTATTTTGTACAGTTAGTGTACACTAATAAAAGCATTTATTTTTAAAAGGACTAGTAAAAAGAAAATACCTTGTTTGGAATGCTTTAATCAGTCTTGAACTTAAAAACTGGTTCCGATGAGATTTTTCACCAAAACCTGGGACTCTCCAGTCTAGTTCAATGTCTATCGAAGAGATGGAAGGAGTTCCTTCTGCATTATCTTCCAGTCACCCAGAGAAAACTTGCTGAGGGCTGGGATGGTGTCCTGACTGCTGGCTTAAGAATCTGTGCACTGAATAACAATGGAACTCCTCTAGGGCAGAAGGTCCTACTGCAGCATGCAAGGTGTATTTCATCACCCAGCCTAAGCACATTCATTTCCTGCAGGAGCAGCAGCGGGGGCATCTGGAAACTTAGATCCCTTTTGCTTTACAAGTGTAATCTCTTCTACACCTGCGCTGAATACACTCTGTTCCCCTCGATTCATTATCGAATTGCTTTTTCCAGTTGTGCAGGTCCAAGTGTGCCATCCGAAACTATTCTAAAACCTGAGGTCTTCAGCTTCCCATTTCAAGCTGGCTCCTACTGTCCTTCTTAAACCGAAGGACAAAACCTATTTGATTTCTACATTTTCAGAATATCTTTGTATCTCTTGAGGGCAATGTCACTCCAGAAATGGCTGAAGTTGGAGATGTTCTTAATCGGCCTGTGGAGGTGGGTACATAACCTTGGGCTTTATAGCTGTCACTGACGAGATTTGTTGTACAGTATGCTGGAGGTAAAACCAAGATGGTCAATACAATAACGAGGGAAATAACTGCATTTTGCTCTTATAAATCTTGACTTCCTCTGGAATTCTTTCCACTTTACTTCCTAAATAAGCCCCATATATTTACGCTGACACATATTTATAAGCAACAGGGGCTAGAACTGTGCAATTCACAGCACAGGGACGTGAGTTAAGAAATATGGGAGGGAATAAGAATGCGAAATAAATGCTGCCGTCCATCTGTAGTGACCACAACTCAGCTAACGTTTACCAAGTGCTAGCTGTTATGTCAGAAGACAGCATCTCATTTAAATATAGGATGCAAGAGAACAAGGATGGCGTCACAACAGGAGGACCATGGGCTGGAAAAGACAGGCTCGGATTATAAAGCAGATTTCTAAAACTTCGCTTTGGATGGATCATAGGAGGTGCTGGCATTTTAGAGAGCAGAAAGGATATCTACATGACAGGCTTTTCCCAGAAAGGTAAATCTTAGTCAGCCCCAAGGTGCAGCTCTGTCCCGGTTGGGTTCACCAAATGGACAGTAGGTGTATCTCTGGCCAGGAAAAGTCTGTCTCTCCTCTGCTATCAATGGAGACCTCCTTAAATCTTACAAAATGCCTGCCTTCCAGGAAACAGTCACATTCCAAGGTCAGTCAAAACAGATTTTGGTAATTCCAGGTAGGCTGATGAAGCCCCTGTTTACAGGCATCATGAAATGCAAGTCTGGAAGGAAAAACCAAACAGAATAGCAACAGCAAAGGTCAAATATCCTCTCAAGGTCACATCCCAGCAAAAGCAGTATATTCCAAGATACCTCTGGCATAAACCACATGAGTAGGAAGAAGCTGAATAAACCTTGAATTCAGTGCCTCTCCTCCCTTCCTCCTTCCTTTGCCCCCAACTCTAGTTCTTTTTCGAGAAATGCCTACTTTGTGACATTGTGGGTAAACAGATGTCCGGAGCCACCCAGTAATTATCAGGACTGTAAAGGCACTCTCCATGACTCTTACCTCAAATGCCTATATATACCCCTCATCTGAGCCTCACTTTATTTCTAGTCTCCCAAAGAGATTTTAAGGAGTCCGTCCAACGATGAAAAGTTAAGGGAAACAAGATCGTTTGCTTTAAGCTGTTCACAGAAAGGTGGTTCGCGTCATTTCCAGATTCCACGAACAGATAATCTCCAAGGTATCAGGGGAGTTAAAGGGACGGGACTTTATACCTCCCCCTTCCCTTCCCTAAGCGTCAGTCCCAGGGAAGGGAGGGGACGAAAAGAAGAGACTGGGAGGTGGAAAAGTGGAAGAAGCAGGAAGAGCCGGGTGCTGAGGGGAGCCCCCGGGCGTCGGCCCTCGGGCGAGCTGGCGTCTGGAACCCGCCCTGGAGCTGCGCCCCAAGCTGCAGCGCGCAGTCAGCTCGCCGCCCAGGAGCAGCCGGGACGCGCCGCTGTCGCCCGGGCACGATCGCGGCGGGCTGGGGACCAGAGCCCCCAGAGCTTCGCTAAGGTGAGTACACGGAGCTGCCCCGGGCACCAGAGAGCGCGCAGCGGGCGGCGGACTGGTGGTGGCGCGCGGGTGGGAAGGGTGACGCGGCCCCAGCCTGGCAAGCGCTAGGATAGGGGCTGGGGGACAGGGGGTGGGGGTGAAGGTGACAATTCCTTCCCCCTGCTACTTTGATGGAACCGCGCGCAACTGAAGCTCGCCCTTTCCCCGTCTCCCCTCAGCCTCTGCTTCCCTAGGGCTAACTTTGAGGAGCAGGCACGGTCCTGGGTGGAGCAGGTGGTCTCTGGTGCGTGGAGGGATCTGGTCCCAGACCCTGGAGAGAGGTGTGGATTCCAAACGGTGATGCCAACACCCCTTAGGGTGCGGGCACCGGGTGAGCCTACCAAGGATAAAGGCTAGGGTGTACTGAAATCCAACTAGAGGTCAGGGGTGTCATCGAATCCATCACTTGGTCGTCATATCTGGAGACAATCAAACAGAAAACGATAGGATCTGTGTAGGAGTTCGGAAGGGTATAGACCAGAAATCAGGGGTAGTTTTCCAACTTGACTTTCCATAGGTCGGGATGGATGAGGTAAAGCCCCAAACAGACCCTCTCACCTCGCCTCCACAGAGTCCCCGGCTGCTGTGGGGGCTTGTCCAAGGAAGACTTGTTTGGCCCCTTCGTCTTTACAGAGACCAATAGGCAAAGAAAAGGAGGGGGTGGCAGAAGGAAGGGCCATGCTCATGTTTCGGGTGCTCACACCCTAAAGGGGATGAAAGAACCGGTAGCTGCGTGCCAAAAGTTAAGGGACGAAATGGAGGGATGATGCGGAGCATGCCTGGGCACAGAGGTCGGCGTTTGGGCTGCCTTCAGTGCCGAATTTGGTTTGTTCACTGGGCACACGACGGACATGTACTGCCACGCACTTGAGGAAAACAGTGAGACAGAGACTTCGTTTTTTCCCCTGTAGCTAAGTAGCTCCTAAGCACCTCACTGATGGAAATACAAAATGGCATGTGACCATTTAAGATGACCTAAGCAGGTAGCCTTCCCAGCACTCTCTGTTTTTCTAGAGTACCAAGGTAATTGTCGTTTAACAGCATTATAGATGCTACCAGTCCCTAGACCAAAAATAACAACAACAACAACAACAATAATAATAATATTCTTTCAAATGATTTTTGTTTCTATCCCATTTACATATACATCTGTGAATTTGGACTTGGTGATCAACAATGTAGGAATATTTACATTGTATTTGCTCTATATGTCTGTTTATGGGGAGACAGACTGAACTGGGCTGGCTTCCACTGAAGGAATGACAATCCCACACAGCTGAAGGAGACAGAGGAAACAGCCCTTATCTATGGTTTACAATTGCCCCTCCTCTTCTCTCTCCCCACTCTGTAAACTTAAAAGCAAATTCTAATATCACCACTTGCAGTTTTCTCATAAGAAGAAGTAGCTGTTGCATCTGTTCATTGCAGTCAAGCCTGCTCAAGGTCAGTTCTGTAAGGAACATTGCTATTCACTGAGTTCACTCAAAAGTGGTCTACCCATCTCTGTGTAAGGGGTTCTTCAAAGAACGGAGATGTTCAGGACAAATGTTGTACCTGCCTGGTATTAGTCAGGAGTTTCCATATGCACCAAGTAACTTGCTCACTTTTATCAAAGAGATTTTAGGAAAATTTCCCATGCAGTCTTTGGTCAAAATGTGACATTTGTTCAAGCTTTATCCACTTGGGCTTATTGCGGAGCTAGCTAATGGTTGTGTTCTACTAAAAAAAGTGTTCCACTCCGACAATAAACCAAGGGCTTTGCTTATGAGGATGAAGATGTAAGGAACAATGCAGTATTTGCCCCTTGCCTCTTGGGGCAGCCTCTGTGAGGCACATTGAAAAGGCTCTTTCAATTTGTTCAAATAAATAAAAACACTCATCTGCTTTTCTTAAAGTTCTTGAATTCATTGCTCTTATAAATACTATCACAGAACTGCTGGTTATAACAGCACATTTATGTAAGGAAATGTTTTGTTTTCATTTGAAGTTTGGCACATGTAGTTTTTCATAGGCTTCTAAAATCATAGCGTCTTCGCTAAAAGTAAGAAGACATCGTAAGTTCTCTTCTAGTAAAGGTGGTCCCCTTTGAAATGATGAGCTATTACTGAAACCGTTTCAAGGATTTTGAAGGACATTTTCTAGTGTATTACTATTAAATAGGCATTGTAAAACAATGTGGACATGATTTTTTTTCATTTATTTTATGTACATAGGTATCTGTTCATAATGTACATTCAGTACCCATAGCAATCAGAAGAGAGTGTCGGATCCCCTGGGACTGGATTGATGCATGGTTGTGAGCTGCCATATAGGTGTTGGGAACTGAACCTTAAATTCTCTAGAATAGCAGCCAGTTCTCTTAACTGCTGAGCCATCTCTCCAGTCCCTGAATATACTGTTTTTAAATCCATGACAGGATTTTTTTATTCATCACTAATTTCGTAAGTAGGAGGAGTGCCTTTTGAGCAAAGAAAATGTGATGCTACCAGATCTTATGATCTGTAAGGAGGTATCTGTAGTCATCCAAGAGTCCCACATAGAACATTAGTCCTTGTGCTCTAACAGAAATGATCCATCCACTTGAAATGGTAACAAGAAATGTTTCAGAGCTGAGAGAGGAATATAAGTAGGCCAAAATGACACCAACAAGTACACCTGAGTAATTGAGAGCAGAAACTGTATGAATGCGACAACCTCCCCAGCTCCTTCATGATCCTTTCTTCTGTCAGCTCTTATTTGTGGCCCTTTTATTCACAGTGTGGAATTTCTCTTTGTTTCGGTGCATGTGGGAAGAAATAACATCTCATACAGCAGGAAATGCTTTACCATGATACCCTTGCCATGACACTAAGCTCATCTGTTGGACGATAGAACCTTCGAGAAGGTTGTTAGAAAGAAGTAGAGTTGTTTGTCATCGTCTTTAACAGAAGATGACAACAGAAAGTGGTGAGACGCAGTGAGGTGTGGAATGTATTTGGAGGTAAGAGAGGCAAGACTTGATGGGTAGATGTGGTTGGTGATGGAGGGAGAGGAACCACAGTTCATGCCTTGATTTATGGGTGGAGCATCTGGGAGACTGCAGCTGTCCCTGAGCAGCATGGGAGACTGACTGCCAGGGACAAGTAGGTTCCATGAAGCTTATTAGACATCTGTACAGAGGTTTCATTGGGGTTGTTGGGTCAGAACTCAGGGGAGGAGAGTTGGAGATCAAAGTGTGAATCATCCATTCATAAATGGCATTCAAAACAATAGGATTTTATGGGGGGAAAAAAACAGAAGTCAATACATTCAGAGAATCAAACAATCTAGACCAGTACAGATCACGAATATTGACAGTAGAAGCCAGGAAAGGAAGTTAAGGCATAGGAATCAGAGGAGCCAAGAGACTTGCAGAAATATGTGAGACCAGAGACATCAAAAGAAAAAAAGTGTTGTAAGTAGGAAGGTCTTATTAACTATGTTCAGGCTGCTGAAGCCTTCAGTGATGTGAGGACGAAGAATTATTTTAGAATTTAAATGGTCGTCAGGCTAGTCAACTTTCTATGGCTGTATCAAAATTCCCAAGAACATCCAATGTCAGCGGTTTCCGTGCATGATAACCGGGTCCTGCTGCTTTGGGCCTGTGATGGCTCAGTATGTCACTGAGGATGGAAGCAGGGAGGGAAAGATGTATCCCATTCAAGGAAGGGCACACAGTTAATAACCTAATTACCACTCTGCCCACCTCCTCAAGGGTATGTCACCTCTCAATGTCTCAACACACAGACAAGGCCTTGGGGGACATTTGAGATCAAAACTGTATCTCAGCTGAGACGGGATTGCTTTGGAGTCAAGCCTAACGCATAGAGAGCTAGGGTACGCAGGGAGACTAGGCTTGAAAAAATTCCCACACTTGGCACTCTTTATTTTACTTAAATTTTGAGAATTTCATATGTGAATACTGTGTTTACATCATTTCCAACCCTCTCACTCCCCCTCCACTTCCAGCCCTTATAGCAATGTTCATGAGTCATTTCAGTCCAAATGATAATGATGATTAAATATTGATTCATAACAGTGAACAAAAAAATTGTAAACCCAGTGGTTCTCATTCCTGGAACTTTTCTTTGGCACACAGTTATATTTAGGTAAATGAATATATGTTCAAAGTTAAGCAGACAACTGCAAAACGTAAATGTGTATACATTTAAAAAGCAAAATAAACTATGAATATCCATTCAGTGAAAAAACATTCCAACCATTAAAAATTATTAAGGCAGCTTTCCATGTATTATAACGAAAAGATCTTCCAAGTACATTCAACATGAACAAAAAAAAATCAGGCTTGATGACTTATTACTGATTAACAAAGAAAAATAAGGTTATGTGTGAAAACTTGTCTAAAAATCAAGAGGCAGCAGCAGTTGCTTGTAGGGAGGGAAAGTTCAGGGTAGAGCATGATGAATATGAGGCTCTGGGAAAAGGGGGCCTTTGTTTTCTTCTGTTTTGTTTTATTTTCAGTTCCGGGGAGTGAACCTGTCCAGGGTCTTATACTTGCTAGGCAACCGTTCTGCCCCCAAGCAACACTTAATGCCTTTGAATTATAGGCACACAGTTACCTATTCAAAACCCTAAATAAAATTTTATGCATAATTTTGAAGCATGTCATTTAAAATAATAAGAGGAAAGAAAAGATGTGGTGGTGAAAAGTGAATACTATATATAGCACAAATCTTTGAGGCGTTTTCAAAAGGAAGATTAAAGGTAGCTGGAGGGAGCCATGGAGGTTTGGTTTTTAAAATGGGAGCCATTAATGCCAAAATTAAACTACAACAGAAAGAAAAATTGACTTTCAAAAAAAAAATAATGAAAAGGACAATTGGAGAGCAGATTCCTTTAGCAAGTAGTATGGGTAGCATTTTGGGCATTTGGAAGAAAAAGAGCTGCCATGGCTAGGAACAATGAGAAAGGCACGTTCTAGA